AAAGAAGGGAAAAAATAAGTCACCATTACAAATTTGAAACAGGTGATTATTTGTGAGTCACTTCAAATATTCAAAATTTACCTCGCGGCCTCGTGTATTTAAAAGTGGATCACGTTGAAAGAGTTTCTCATTATCAAAATAAGATAATAAAAAAATTCCAAAATTTGAATAGTTGTATTGTACAAACCTGGCTGGAAATGAGTAATTATATCTTGTTTCTCCTCAATGCTAGCTCTAGATAGTAACAACTTTCTATTGGAAACGGGAACATTAAAAACATAAATTTTGGATGAGATTTGAAATAGATTTCGCTAATAATTTTTTACGGATCTCTAGACGAGCGCGTTTCTTTCTGCAAGGAGATAACTGTGGTATATTTATTTTTTTAAATCCGTTTCCGGGTGAATGAGAAATTAGCTCCAAATTGTGGTGTTTTGATAAACCTAAATGGGTATGCAAAATGTGGGAAGTGTTTGTCCCATATGAAAAAAATGTTAAAACCAATTGAAATTTAAATAAGCCAAATTTGGGCTTGGGCTTGGGCTTGGGCTTCGGCCTAATTTTAAAGTCCAATTTTTTTTTTTACTAAATGGAATCTTGGATTGGGCCTTTAATTTTGGGCTAGGCTTATTTAAATGGGTGGTTGGTTTTTGAATTTAAATTAAAAGTAAGTTTTTTTTCCTAAATGGTTGCATCTATTTCTAAAGGGTTACATCTGTTTTTCAAAGAGTTGTATCTGTTTCTAAAGGGTTGCAACTCAAAACCAACAGACATAACTGTTCATGTAAACCATTACAACCTATTGGAGTTGATATGTCATTGGTGAACAGACACCATGTGAACCATTGCAACCAATTAGAGTGGATGTGTCCAATGTGAAGAAACACACACACACACACACATATATATATGGTTGTGTCCAATGATGAAGAGACACACCCACTCGAAAAGACACCTTGTTGCCTATAAATATCCTCATTTGGATTATTTGCAAATGGTTCATTTCATTTTCTTCTATCTCCCTCTCTAGACTTGAACCCAACCCAAGTGAGTTTAAACTATAGGTTAAGTGGCCCGAACCACTTAGACCCTAATCCAATTTCATCGAGCCATATTAAGATTGGTCCGAACCATTTGGTTCGGATTACATCCAATTTAGCATTTATATAGTATAGATGTATTTTTTTAGTCAGAAAGAGTATTACACGGAGAAGGCTCGCCGTATCCACGAGTTTGTAGTGCTGTTACTGGTAGATGTAAACCGTTGTATCCTGAGAGATAGACGCCACCGAGTCCGTTAGCACCATAGCGGGGCGAATATGTCTTAAAGACATAGTATCCAATACTAGCCTCGGTTCAGGTTTATTTATTTATTATTATTATTTTATTGTTTTAATTTGCATGTTTAATTAAATATCTAGTTGAATATTTAATTAGTTATTTCTAGCGTGTTACAAATATCTTATGGCATATTAGTATAGGATTAGTTATATCTTAAATGTCACGTGAAGCATATATTTACCGACACTTTCATGCTCTGTTATTGATATAAGGACCTAACAATTGCAGCAACATGTCAGTTACCTCCATGACAAAGTTAAAACACTGAAGTAACTTCAACTGCTGCACGCGAGCTCAAGCCGAGACTCATACACGAATTGTGAAATGAATGTAGCGCAGGAACCTTGAATGAGAGAACACTAAAAATAATCACAGATATATTTGGGACGAAACTAATATATATTGCTGAAATCAAAATATAATCAGCAATTTCTAGCATGCAAAATGTGGGAAGTGTTTGTCCCATATGAAAAAAATGTTAAAACCAATTGAAATTTAAATAAGCCAAATTTGGGCTTGGGCTTGGGCTTGGGCTTCGGCTTCGGCTTGGGCTTCGGCCTAATTTTAAAGTCCAATTTTTTTTTTTTACTAAATGGAATCTTGGATTGGGCCTTTAATTTTGGGCTAGGCTTATTTAAATAGGTGGTTGGTTTTTGAATTTAAATTAAAAGTAAGTTTTTTTCCTAAATGGTTGCATCTATTTCTAAAGGGTTACATCTGTTTTTCAAAGAGTTGTATCTGTTTCTAAAGGGTTGCAACTCAAAACCAACAGACATAACTGTTCATGTAAACCATTGCAACCTATTGGAGTTGATATGTCATTGGTGAACAGACACCATGTGAACCATTGCAACCAATTAGAGTGGATATGTCCAATGTGAAGAAACACACACACACACACACATATATATATATGGTTGTGTCCAATGATGAAGAGACACACCCACTCGAAAAGACACCTTGTTGCCTATAAATATCCTCCTTTGGATTATTTGCAAATGGTTCATTTCATTTTCTTCTATCTCCCTCTCTAGACTTGAACCCAACCCAAGTGAGTTTAAACTATAGGTTAAGTGGCCCGAACCACTTAGACCCTAATCCAATTTCATCGAGCCATATTAAGATTGGTCCGAACCATTTGGTTCGGATTACATCCAATTTAGCATTTATATAGTATAGATGTATTTTTTTAGTCAGAGAGAGTATTACACGGAGAAGGCTCGCCGTATCCACGAGTTTGTAGTGCTGTTACTGGTAGATGTAAACCGTTGTATCCTGAGAGATAGACGCCACTGAGTCCGTTAGCACCATAGCGGGACGAATATGTCTTAAAGACATAGTATCCAATACTAGCCTCGGTTCAGGTTTTTTTATTTATTATTATTATTTTATTGTTTTAATTTGCATGTTTAATTAAATATCTAGTTGAATATTTAATTAGTTATCTCTAGCATGTTACAAATATCTTATGGCATATTAGTATAAGATTAGTTATATCTTAAATGTCACGTGAAGCATATATTTACCGACACTTTCATGCTCTGTTATTGATATAAGGACCTAACAATTGCAGCAACATGTCAGTTACCTCCATGACAAAGTTAAAACACTGAAGTAACTTCAACTGCTGCACGCGAGCTCAAGCCGAGACTCATACACGAATTGTGAAATGAATGTAGCGCAGGAACCTTGAATGAGAGAACACTAAAAATAATCACAGATATATTTGGGACGAAACTAATATATATTGCTGAAATCAAAATATAATCAGCAATTTCTAGCATGCATATCTCAAGTAACAAGAATTGATGATGCACCGAAATGTGACATTGGAACGGTACCAAACCTAGAACTACTGTGTTGCTTCTGAATGCTAATCTGGTGTTGAACACATAGTAGTGTGTGTGCCTCAAAACTTGTATTGTCATGGTCTTAAAAGTAGAAGCAGCAGTGAAGCACAGACCATTGACGCCAAGGAGTAGAACCCAGACCAACCTCGACCTCCAATATCCTGTGATATAGCAAATTAATAAAATATATATAAAAAAGAAAAAGAAAAAAGTGAAGGTGTCATAACACCTCAAAAGTGCCATGAATGAGGTTATGAGTATTTACAAAACACACTCTTTTCTTTCTTCTACCGGTCTTGGTATTTTTAAACCAACATTAGCAGAAGAAAGTTTCTACTTTGGCTAAAAAAAATTCAATCACGACACTCTTCACTACAATTTAACTTCACCTAATAACAGCAGGAATATATTCTCGAATAATCAAAAGACCAATATCGAAGGGCATCTTTGTATGCGTGTGAAACATTGAAAAAATATGTATATAGGCACTGGCAGTTTATGGACCCTAAAGAATAAGATTTACGAGTAAAGGATCTAGTTAAGCTATAAAATGGAAGTAGGAAGCACTTCTACACCAACCCCTGATCACTATCTTGACAAGGATGAGAATTAAGTGAAACAATTTTAGCATTTCTCCAAATGCGAGTTAAAAACCTGTAGTATTTACAAGTTCTCTAGATATTGGCAATGAAAAAGAAAATTTGAATTCTGCACTGTTTATTGACAATGATACTTCAACCAACCAACCGCACAAAGTTGGCAAACCAAAACGAAATATTATGCAGTTTTCCATCAAACTAAACCTACTGTACTGGACTATAGTGAGATTTGAATACTCGAAGTAAATTAATTCCAAGAGTTTCTAAGACTTGGTGAGGATGGGCTCAATTTTAGTTTGAGATTTGAAGTTTTTGAAGGATTACTTTTGCTGTCATATAACATTACATAAATCTTTATAGAAAAGTCCAACAGATCACAAGATAAAATGCTTGTTTATCCATCAGCAAGTGCACACAGAATAAGCAGAGTAAAATCACCAGCAAAAATACAAGGCTGTTACCATGACAAGTCTTTTTCTGCAAGGCTTCTCGTTCGTTAAAAATTGATATTCCAGACACAATTCTCAAGGTTAATTCCACCATTATGTGAAAATTTCCATTTGTCTAGAAAAAAATTCCATTTGTCTAGCAATGCTAGGTTTATGGAACAATACCAACTCCAAAATCTTCACTTGTCTAGAAAAAATTCCTCTCATGAGTGAATGTGCTTTGATGTGTTCGAACCATGCCAATCAGTGTACTAAGATGAACAAGTGGGAAAGGTAAGGACTATTCTATCTAAAAATTAATAAAGTAAAATATTAATGCCTGTAAAGTTATTCATGAAAAAATATTCCACAATAAAAGTCACTGACCTAAAAAAAAGTCAAAATGTCAATGTCCCAAATTATATTTAAGATGCACAACCAAGGCATCAGGAAGTGCATTAACTTGTAAATTGTAATGAAGTATAAAATTAAAATCAATAATATAAAGCCAATATAGAAACAATAATATCACTTACGAAGGAAGGCACACTTCATTTTTTTTTACTGGGCACTTGAATTTCACTGCTGGACTACAGATTTATTGTTTTAAAGTAGCATAACGGATATGATAAAGAAACTACAAGCACAAGAAATGCATGATCTGCAAAGTAAACAACAGAACGTATAACAACCAAATCACTAAAAAAATTTCTTTCTTTTTTTTAGAAAAAAAAGAAAAAACTGATTCCAATTAGCTTGAGTTTATATATATATATATATATAACGAAAAAAAAAAAAACATGTCAATAATTGAGAAATGTGAAAAACTATGTTTCATAAGTCATTAATGATACCTAGTTCGTTTCAGTTCTAATTGATTGGAGAGTTTACAAAACGTTCTTGCACTTCTTCATGCTAAGCGCACACATTTCATCATGGAAATTGCCAAACAACAATGATTGATAGATTTCTTCAATTCCCAAGTGTAGTTGCATGTTCTTAATAAAATGGTGCTCGAGTCATTTGTGAAAAACAGATAATCTTATTCCTCATGGAGAAACTTCTGACATTAATTTCTATAAAAGCAAACAAGGATCCCAATAAACTAGTTTGGCAAAACATTTCCTACTGGAGAAAAGATATCAGTTCCATGAATGTTCCACAACATAAGATACCTCAAATTCCAATGCACCAGATGAAGAAAATGTAATGACATTATTGATTGCTATTTTCAATTCTAATTAGCCCCAAAGCACCAGGTGAGACCAACAAAAGAATGTATCAGCAGGAGTAAAGGAGAACTTGTATAAAGGTGATTGGTGAAAACAGGATTGCATCTCAGAACCAAATATATCTTCATATATCCACTCAAACTAGACCGATTTTCTTTGTGCCATGTTCCTGAGATGAGGTTGCAGGAAAAAGCCATCAAAATGTCTATATTGTTCTTCAAAACGGGACCAGGACAAATTGAGAACATGGCAATAAATAAATATTACATGCGCGAGTGTTTGCAGGTGTTTATTCCCCAAGTCCTCTCCTTGATCGAAACCCTTATTTTATCACACCACTTCCATTCTTAGACAGTGCCATAGGGACTGATAATAGTAGGCACACAATAAACATACAAATCTAGGCAGCACCTCAAATGAGGTTGAATAGTCAAAAGTGTTCAATTTTCCTTGGGTTTTTATATATGGAAAATTTGTTCTAATAAGATTTGGTTCGAGAAAAAGAAATCTATATATAAAACATCTGGAGAAAAATAGTGCAGTGAATCACTGGGTGAGTGGGTGGTGATGTGGAAATGAAGAAGATCCATTGGGGGAGGTCAAGGGAAGGGCTTATAGAGAAATAAGATGCATTCAAGAAAGAGAGATTTTTGTTGTTGCATGTAGGTAATATACATGACATTTTACTAGTAATTTGGTGCAGGAATTTATCCTTCGGGCGCAAATGTCTGAATTTCCCCAAGTAATTGGGAAAAGGTTTGGTTGTTGTAGTTGCACAAATGTCTGAATTTGTTTTCCACTGCTTCTCAAAGAGATCTGATGTGCGTAGACTTTGCTTGGCAGTCTGGTGAAAAGCTGCACCATCATCTCACTTCATTAATACATTGAATGATTGAGTCAGCAAAAATGTTTCTCGGGAAGCAATTCACTGAAGATCTTTCAACTGTTTTATTTTTTGGGTGCTGTCTGCTTAACGGGATACATCTTTGATCATTTAATAAGTAAAAATAGGATGACCCCCTATATAGGTTGCATGTGTTAAGAAAGAATTTAAGCAAACTCTCTATCTATCCAAAATCCAATAAATGCATTTTCGCAAGCTATGACATCCATGTTCGTTCTTAGGACATTCCGGAGTTATTTGCCTTGGCTACTGATATTCTGTATAGGCAGTAAATTTATTTATTTTTTCTAGTTGAAACCCACTTACTATCTTACTATCTTGTACTTTAAAAGGTGTAGAAGCACCAATAGACTACAACCCTTGTGAGTAAATTTATAAATCCATATCTACAAAACAATTGTCTATCAGAACTGCTCCTTTTTGCCTCCTTTGGTGAAATTAAAAGAGCGTAGCAGTATAATTTTCATAGATTTCGAATGGTCTTTTAAATCATAACAGACAAATTATCGAGGATTATGTTTATACAAATCATTCAACACGTAAGCTAAGAGAAATTTTCATTCCTTCGATTTGTGAATACTGTGTGTGTCTAGATGTAATTTTCCTTTTCATACTTCCCCCATACATTGGAGTCACTCCCCAATGTTAGTCCCAAGTCCCAACATGTCTTCAACAATTTTCTGAATCTCACCAATATCATAGCTTTTTTAATATAAAGTATTACAAGAAAAAAAGATTTTGCAATTAAAATGAGATATTCCAAAGTGCTTAATGAGCCTCATACCTTCAAAGAACCAAAAGATGAAGCTGCAGATGAAGATTTCAGTCCATCAAATCCAATATCATATGAAATGCTCCCATCAGCTTTAAACAGTCCAAAATTCCTCTCAGAACCGGGACCAGGCTTCAAATTCTCATTAAATATCGCAAAAACATATGCCTTCAATGTAGTCTTTGGCCTCAATGGGGTTCCCTTCTTCTTGGCAAGCCTTTTACGCAAGTTAAAGTTGTAAGTCCTTGCATTGTCAGCAGTGGCTGCAGCTTCACTTTGATCTCCATGAGAAGCCCAACCTGTCTCCGTAACAATAACTTCCATCTTTTTGAATCCAGCATCTTCCAAAGCAGCATAGGCTGCATCAATCTGAGCATCAAGCATGTTATCATAACGCAGATCGGTTTTTGGATCATAGATTCCCTTGTTGGACTTGAAAAGTGCATAATTTATTTCAATTTCATCTGGATTACCCATATAGGCCAAAAATGGGTAAGCATTTAAACAGAAAGGAGATCCAATCTGTGAGAAGAACTCCATCAGTGGCTTCATGTATTGAACGACAGTGTCTTTGAAAATACACGAAGATGGAGGGTAAGAATTAGCAAAAACTGCTTGTGAATGTGCAGTGGAAAGCTGAACTACATCGGCTAACCGAAGCTCTTTTGTAGCATTGTAAACGTTTTTAACAGCACCCATCAAAGCTTCCCAGTTTCCTTGATCACCCCCTCCCAATACTTCATTTCCTATAGCAATCCCACGGATGCGTGTCTGAGGAAGGAATGCCTCCACATTTTCTTTGACCCAAGTCAGGGCATGATCTGCATTAGTACTCATGTCTTTCAAGTATTCGTTAGGAAGTCCCACCACTAAATCAAGCCCAGTTCCGCTAAATGCCTTGAGGACACTGTGATCCGCATCATAAATTCGTACATTCTTTATCTTTGCGGCTTTGAGTAGTGTAACAACTTCATCAGGAGAGGGGATGTTATCAGCAATTCTCCCGTAATTTATTCCATAAGTTCCAGTGAATGCTTCAACTATCAGAACTTCTGGATAAAAGAACAAAATTGCCTCCATTAAACAGATGTATTTGCAACATGCAAGAGAACAGAAGACTGTTCTTCCATGAGAGTAAACAATAAGAAGCACACATGAATTGGTGCCTTGGAATCGGAATCGGAATTGGAATCGGAGGAAAACGCAATGTTATAAATGTTGCAGGTGATTGTGCAAATTAAATTTTGATAAAGCAACAAAATTGATCACAAAGTTAAGAATTTAACAGGCAAGTCTGCAAATTATTCAGTACAAACACAGGCTTAAGGGATGGACTCGTTTGAATTAGAAAGATTTCATCAAAATCCTCTCAAATAATGGAATCAAAAGAAGTAACATTCACAATAGAAATTCCAAATATATAATGAAAAATATATCAAATAAATTTTTTGAACTAGTTACATAACATAAGCATGACACTTACCCCCACATAAAAGTAGTTATACATACATATTTATATATACTTCTTTTTTTTTAGTTTGTTGGAAAGTCATACATATATATATATACACACACACATTTAAATGCACACAGAACCAATTAATGATCTTGATCTACAACTATCCAATTTGGTAAATTTTGTAATAAATTGAAGTTGATAGTAGTGAAAACTCCATATACTGGCAGGATCATATCAAACCACAATGAATTAAAAGAAAAGTACAGTTCAAAAAGTGTAAATGAAGAACAGTAAAGTACCGTTTGGAGTTGAGAAAACAGAGAGCAAGAGAATGAATTGAACGAAGAAACGAGAAGAAACTTTCATTGCATCGGACGTAGGACGATCGAACTCCCAGCGATTCCTCCGATACAAGGCTTGCTATCGCTACTAAATCCCATAAGAATTATTAAAAATTCCCTTTACTTTCTCTCTCTAAAAAAGCACAACTTTCCTTCCTCATCTATTATTATATATATATGTGTGTATATATATATATGAGCTCTCTCTCCAGAATACTGGCGGTGAGTGGTGGCGACCTGTCGCCGGAGAGGAGCGGAGTAAATGGTGGGTTTTGGCGGTCGTTTTCTGGAGGGAGTTTTCGATGTGCATAGACTGACTGACTTATTGTTAGCACTGCTAAAATTACTGTTTTGTTTATGGTTATTTTTTTCTAATTTGATTGGCCTGTCTTGCTTGTTTAAAGAATATATTTTTGAATACGTGTTGGAAGATCATTGATAATGAAAAGAAGGGGAAAGCTATTTTTTTTGTTTTATAATAAGTTTCACTCGCTTTTTTTCACGTGTTTGTCCCACTCCTCCTAGAAATTCCTTTTATTCTCTAAAAAAAATGAATAAATAAAAAAATTATTCTTGTTTGATAAAGCCTTATTAGTTCAATTCATAAAATGGTTTTAATTCAATTTATATTTATATTTAAACAAAAACAAAAACAAAAACTTTATTAGTTGGTTTAATTAGTGGGCATATTACATACTTTATTTATGAGAACAGACCTAACATTATGATTCTATTTTACAAGTGCACCAACTTGAGACCTCCAATTTGCTAAGAATATTCTTAAATTGCAGATAGCAGCATCTCAACCTCCAAAAGCATTCCTTTTCTTTTTCCTTCTCAAAGGAGAAAAATCAAAATTAACAATCAAACTTTAGAGATGATTAAATTACAAATATTTTATTATTATTATTATCAACGTCTCAAGATCGATTGTGATTGTTAGTTATAGTAGGACAATAAGATACATACCCATATATTTAATCATATCTATATACTTATTTTAGAATATACTTTCTCCATTATTAAGGATGTGTGTAACCCAATTTTTGTGTGTTTTGTTTAATGATTGATTTGTTTGTTTAAGTTGAAATTTGGCAATAGCTAGCTTAGCAAGAAAGAATCTCCAACCTATACCTCCACCTAACCTTTTCTCTTTCAAGTCTCATTGTTTGTTTGTATAGCTTTTTCACCTTTTAATTTCAAAAGTACCCAAAGGAAAAAAGCCTTCTACATAAAGTTTTAATCATATACATTTATTTATTTAATGTCACTAATCTCATAACATTGATCAAATTACTCTTTGAATAGTCTAGACTTGAACGACTAAAATATTATCTCAATTGTGATCATAATACTAATCAGGTGTTACCTTTTTTCAAAAGCATCGAGCAATGCAGATGCTCACGTTAGTTTTGAAATGATTTTTAGGGTCCTGTGTTTGAAAAACCTATCACTACCCTTAATTATTATTAAGAAGTAATTGAAGTTATGATGAGTATAATTTGGTTGCAAAGAAAAAAAGAAAGAAAAGGAGAAGAAGACAAATGAGAATGGAAGTGAAGATACTTTGGTTGTTCTTATTCTTGTTTGGACCAAATATCCCTTTCTTTCTTTCTTTCTTTCTTTTGTGGGTGTGTGTTGAGAGTGAACCTTTACTTGGTGTGGTATTAGTAATTTAGTGTATGTGACTTCAAAAGGATTGTCTTTAGAGCTGGCTTGAGAAAATGCATGGTGTGTGTGATATTTATTAAGGTTTGTTTGATTAAACATTCAAAAGCCAGATTATGGGATGGCTTTTTCCAAAAACCAATTGCCACAATACACGCAAAGGAATCTACTTTTACAAATCCGGGTAGTTGAATACATATACATATATACATATATAAAGTGACACATTTGTGGAACCAGAAAAAGGTTGGGAATGATGTAAAAGTAAAGAGGAGAAAAGTAAGGGTGGCAATCGTTCATTGACCCCATTTCATAGTCATTCTTAACATGCAAGTAGAACCGTGCCTTATTATTATTATTTTTTTGAATTTTTTAAATCTCGACAAATAACATATAACTAGAGACTTGAATTCTTACTGAAAAAATGTCATTAAATTACGAGCTTTGATAATAATATTTCAAGTAAGGCTAAATCCAATTCATTATATCTTAACCTTGAGTAATGTTGTTTCGGGTTTAATAATTTTTTCGAATTACTCAAATTGTTCAAATTTTTAATAGTTTTTAATAAATAAATGTTATAAAAATGATGGATTTGGTGGAACACTAATTTCTTTTCAATTCATACAACTAAATAAGATTTGATGGGCCAGTAGTAATTTTCCCATTAGACCCAACTCAGATTATTGGACTTTGCCAATTTAGGCCCATAATTTTCTCTCGACTTGGTTGCCTGAAAGATTGAAAGAATGAGGATAAATTATGGGGCACTAGCTAGCATTTCCAAATATCATTTCTCATTTTTCTCAACCAAACCAAAGGCCATTAACATGAGAGAACCTAAATACATGAAGGGCGAAAAAAGAAAAGAAAAAATAATAATAATAAAATAAAAAATGAGAGAAAAACCCCAGAAAGAACCAGAATATGAGTTCATAGGATCAGTAATTGCATACGTAAGCACTTATTGCAATAACAGTTTTGACAACATAAATTACATAGATCTCTGCAAGCTACAAGTCCCTCCAATGCAACAAAAGCTGTGGAATTGGAGGCCTAAACTATGATCTAAGATAGTGATTACAAAGATCTCTGCACACTACATGTCCCCTCAATATAACAAAAGCTCCAGCAGGCCTAATCTATTATTTTACATACTTTTTTCCATGGACAATCAGAATATTATTATAACAACAGACAATACTACTCATCTGAAGGAACCCACAAACCTATGAAGGTCAGAAAGGTTTGAGAGAAGTATCAAGTCATTCTACTACTATATGATAACTCAAGGGTTGACCTCACTGGCCTTGTTGCTGAGGCTGCCATTCTCGATCGTTTCTCCCTCGGCTTTGTTGCTCATATCATGGTCCATCACATTATTTTTTTTGGCGTTATTTCCATTCGCTGCTGCTTTCTCTTCAGTTTCACCTTCACAGCCAAAGACACCGCTTTCATGCTTCTCCTCCTGTCCTTCCACTTCGTACTTCTTTTCCCCGGTTATGCCTGCATCTGTTTTGTCCTGTTGCCCAGAGCCATTCTCTTTCTCTGCCTCAGCTGGTGTTTGCTGCTCCTTTTCTTGAGCCTGCACATCCTCCATTTTCCCTTTATCACTTTGAGTTGCTTCAGAAACATCAGCTATTTGCCCAACTCTGGTCTCTTTTGAATCTCCCAGTTCTCCTTTTGCGTTCTTCTTGTGTTCTTCAGAATCAGTAGGCATTTCAACATTTTGGCCAACCTTGGCTTCTTCAGGAGCATCTTCTGATTTGCCGTCTGTATCTTCGGTCGCATTTTTATTTTTCTTCACATCATCCTTCTCAATTTCTGGATCTGCGTTGTCCATTTCAGTTTTCTCTACCTCTTGCATGTGAACTTCTTTCACCACCTCATCCTTCTCAATTTCTGGACCTGCATTATCCTTTTCAGTTTTTTCTACATCTTGCATGTGAACTTCTTTCACCACCTCAGTTTCTTCAGGGGAAACTTCTTTTTCTTTAATATCCTTTTTCGCAGAAGATTTCCTGCTTCGTTTCTTCGGGGACTCACTATCTGGTGGTGAAATTGCCTTTGCCTTCTCACTGATCCTGGCTGATCTCCTTGGGGTTTCACCTGTTCCCCAATCGAACTCTGATATAGCTGGACCGCCGGGGTGTGATTTCAGATACTGTTCCAACTGCCTTTTGTTAGAGAACTCCTCTCCTGTTGGGGATGCAAATATGATCTCATTCTTCTTAGGGGTCCCTCCTTTCTTGGGCATGAACTGCACAGAAACATAAAGCTTGGGGTTATACAACTGAATCCTTTTGATAAAAGAATATAATTCCCACGAGCATGCAAATATTGTTATTGATACTTCACATTGCCATAACGAATTAGAGTGGAAGATCTAAGACAGAGTCAACAGAGTGGAATTAAATTCACTGATAAACAGATGATATTCAAGAAAGGACATAAAAATGTAAAGGATTTGGATAATCCTGCCTATTGAATAAATAGTTTAGAGCCTGCCTTGTGCACTCGACATTTATAAGATTCCCTTATTAAGCTACCCTGTCTTATATCAGAATGCGGTGAGGATCAAGAGAATTAAATCATTCATAGATGTTTTTTCTTCTTCCTTTAGTGAATGAGAAATTAAACTCACGACCTACACTCCATAGTAATTGGTTCTTATTAGCAAGACAAAATAAACATGGCCAATTTCTATAAGAATCTATGGAACAGGGAACAAAGAACTTGCATTCGAACCTAAACGAAGCACAACAATGACTGTGCAACACACTCCTTGAAATCCAACAAACTCAAAGTGGAGCTTCAAATGGATGTGAGGAATGATACCATTAATAATTTCTCAAAGGAATCAAAACAATATGCTAATCCTCTCACAGTGTAATTTGACTGCAGAATTGGTAATGACATGAGCATTAGGAAGTTTAAAGTTAAATTGATTGAAGATTCATTATAAAAGGAAGCTGTCTGAGATGGCCTTGCCATGTGCAACCTAGACCAACGCACCAGTTCAAAAGAATGATTAATCCAAGTTCAAGGTGCCAAAACAATAAGAGGAAATCCAAAAGAATATTGGTAATAGATACAGTGGTCTTAGATTAACTTACAATATGATTTTATCAGAAATAAATTCTTCATCTATCTGTTTTCTTTAGTTATTCACTAGAGCAATCATGATCTGGAAGTTGATCCAGGGCAAGTGTTCAGATCTATTATGACATAGCAACACGGAGCTCAACGGACCTTTTTAATCTTATAAAACCTTTTCTAGGCTTTGGATTGATGGAAAAACGACTTTATTTTTGTGCAACCTAGTGTGTTTTCATATCTCAATTAGAAGTTATTAGATAGAGCTGCTTCAGGTTTTAGATCGAACATATTACTATTACACTATTCCAAATCAAGCGAGCAACCATTAGTCATTCCAAAGAGACCTCCTGGTATCTATATTTAGTCATTCGAATGTCTCTTTTAGTAGTTTTAATAACAAATTGAATAGAAAAATATTCAATTTTGTGCTCTATCTGTGCATTATATGACAAAATAGTGTGTATTTTTACTGACACATCATAAAATTCAATCTTGAGTGTTGAGGCATAGGATTTGTTTTTGACATATAGTTCATATTTACTCTTCATAATAGTCTCAAATCATCACCTATACATTTATTGTCTATTAGTCACCTTTCTGTAACGTCGGTGTACATTAGAGCCTTATATATGGTCAGACACTGTAACAGTACCATTCCTGTGGATGTGATGTCATCAATATACTCAACTCTTAATTTTTTGGGTTCGTCTTTGGATCCTCACAATATTTCCGAATCTTGCCACCTATCTTCCAAATCTTTTATGGTCTCTAATTGATCATCATCACTGTCTTTGCCTTCATTCTTTTCTGGTCTCTAATTAGGTGGAAAAAAAGGGAGCCAGTCAAACTCGTTAGTGAAAAAACTACATGGAGATGAACCGTATTGGACTATCACCAGACCACTTTCATATGACCCAACTTATGCAATTAAATCCCATTGTCCTTTCAACCCAGATTTACCAAATAAGAGCCAAAATATCACCATATAATTTTTCCCTTCCACAACTCATTGAAGTAGAAATCTAGATGAGGAAAATTCAAGAAAGCACCATCCAACAAATCCCCAATGAAGTAGGCAAGCTCTTCCAACCAAAATCAGTTGGTGCTGCAAAGGAAGTTGCGAAGGTCTCTTTTCTAGCACCTCATTGATGTTCACCTTGGGATGGACAATTGTCATGGCGAAGCTCTTGATCTATTAAGACTGTAAAGGAGCAAACCACTTAAAAAACAAAATCAATTAAGGGATGCAAAATTTGCAACAAAATAAGTTATAGGACTACCCCCATGGAACCTTACCAGAAAAATGTTTTGACTCTTTCCCTTCGCATACTCTAGTAATTTAACTTCTACATAAGTAAGCACATATATTTTTCAATCTCATCCACAGAGCAGGGTAAGCATTATCAATAATAAGATGTCGGCTATAATGATCACACCATGAAATTCCATTTTATGTGAGATTCTCCCGATGGAACTTCAATCGATCATTACCTGAATTTGAGTCTTTTCACTCTTTGCCCTCCTTCCTCCAACTCTTTGGGAAGCCCCACCACACAAAGATCACTGAGACATGAAGCTTAAGCCTGGACCATAGTGCTTGGGTATCCTTACTGATAAGATGCATTAACATGGATACACAATATCTATAAAAGAACTCAAATATCAACAGTAAAGCATGGGAATGATGCATGGGGCACTTCATGTTCCCTCTTCAGTAAACTTTAACTGGTACATGGTGCTTAAAATATATTGTTTTATTCTTTTCTTCTTCTTTTTTCTTGAAAAAGGAGACTGGGAATTTCACAACCTCATTAGCACTCAGGTGTTTTGATGCTACTCAGAATGTATTGACTTACTGAACCAAATCAGAAATAAATTATTTCATTGAGAGTTTCAATATTAAAGTTTCATCACTAGAAGTAATATCTCAAACTCACAAAATATAATTCCAAACATCCTTCCCTTTGTTTTCCTTCAATGTTACTCTCCCATTAATAATTAGGACTATTAGAATACACATGCCAGATACAAAATGGCCACCCAAAAAGCCCGAAAAAATACTACAAGTGAAGACGGTATCTTCTCTAATCATTTTCAAGGAAAGGTATATGTGACTTTGCCATCCTTTTTCTAAGCAAGCTCGCACAGAATGAACTTTAATTTCTCAAGATGGTATTATGCCCTCCAAAGTTTTCCATTGTGGCAATGCCGTATAAAAAAAAACATGTATGTATACCAGTAGATGACTTATTATCTTGGTTTGATACACTAACTTTCTAGTTTCTCCATGTTTGTACTCGAGTTTGCTTTCACTTGTGAAATGAAAACATATTTTAATGGAGAACAAGAAGTCAATGCACCACACATGCTTCTCACTTGCTTCAGGCACAGGGAAAAGAAAGATAGAGATCAAAAGAAAAAAATCTTTTATTAGGGTTCTAAATTTAAATTTAGGATTTCTTTCCATAGAATTAGATTATTAGGTTTATGAATTTATTAGGTATATTTCTTTTATTTACAATTTTGGTTTTATCTGGATGACTAAAGGTCACTACTACAATATTAATAGACATATGATGTGTCTTTTGAACTAAGGCACTACACTTCTCAATGGAAAGAACAAAATTATCACTTGTAGAGGCACTGAATGAAGAAGTAGAAGCACTCACATGCTGCTGCAATGTACTAGTCTTGGATAAACAGTGTGATTATCACAAGAAGCCCATGGTTTACCAACCAAATCACAATAATTGGCAATGTTATAGCTCTCATTCTCACAGTAAGTACACCTTCAAAATTCTCCTCTTACCTCGACCTTGGTCACAACTACTACCTCAGCTCCCCTCCCCACTCTTCCTCTAACAGCTGCCAACTGACACACTAATAAGACACCAAACGATACCATAAAACATAAAATTATGGGTAAATTATACAAACCTCCCCTATAATTTGCCATAATTACACGGACCTCCCCTATGGTTTGGGGATTTACTTAGACCAACCCGAACAATGAAAATATGCTACGTGGACCTCCCTTCTGTGTGATGGACCGTCAAATACACTAACGGACCTGTCAAATTTACAGAAATACCCTCACATTGCCATATGAAATTACTAAAGTATCCATATGCTATTGACTAAGCATGACGTCACTGCGTCAGTTATACACAGCTGCCTTTTACATATAGTTTTGGAGGGAAAATTGCCATCAATGTGTACCTCTGTTCCCAAAACTGACGTCCCTTCATATGCCTTAGCAATATGAAATCGTGTAAGTTAGGGTTTTCTATCATTTCAACACTTTAAGAGAAAGAGAGAGATTATATGTGCTCTGCCAAACCCAAAGTTCGCATTGATAGAGAGAGAAGGATTTACCAAAGATCGCATCAACAAACGATTTTGCTTCCCATATTTGGCATCAAATCCAAGTTCATTTTTGCAAAAAATGAGTTAGGGTTTGCGCGACATCGCATGAATACAACTGGAACTCTAACCTACTGATCTGCGGCATTAAAGTGCTCTGAGTTAAAGGTATGTGAAAATTTCTACAAGATCTGCAACATTGAAGTGCTCTGAGTTAAGGGTTTCGATGTTTCTTATTAGTTTAGGGTTTCTATTTTTTTATTACTGTATATTTAGTTTAGGGTTTCTGTTTATTATTATTATAATTGCAATTCTATCTAATTTTGGGGTAGTTGTTCAGTTCATTGTTTGGGGTAAATTTTGTTTAATTTTTGTTTATTATTTGTTTTTTTACAATTTTAATTGTTACAGTAATGGAATCAATTCATGATATTGATGTTCACTACAAGAGGAACCTAACTTTTATAACTGGTGTGGATCCAAATTTTTATAGTATCTTTGATCTTGTTAAAGATGTAACATAAGTAGCTTTATCTCATATTCCACCTACTGTCCCTTTGTCACTGTATTTGTATTGTGTTGTTCCTGTGTCTTCTGCTAGAATGCCTGTGGATGGAGACAAAGATGTGTTAGAGATGTTTAAATTAAATGCTAGTAAGAGATTGATAGACTTGTATATTGACAAGGTTGTCACTGATGTAAGTTCTGAATTTAGCTCAATTGAGATCAAGGATTTTGATGATAGGAACTTTGATGATAGTAACCTGGATGATAATGAGACAAATGTGAACAACAATG